TGGTTCATCTAAGTTTACCAGTGTTCTGTCACTTATGAATGTGTCACCATCTGAAGTAATATGAAAACCATACAACTCAGGTGGCACACTCACCCTAGTGGATCTTCGAAGCGGTAATGATTTATCAACCGGTTCAACAGGGATGTTTCCTCTGGTTGAGTGCTAGTGTCATCTAAGGTTCCTTCATTGGCTGACTCTTGAATCTCTTCAAGGTCAATGGTACTCCCACTGTCCTCTTTGAATATGAGCTCTCTTTCCAGAAAGACTCCTCTTCGAGCTACAAACACTACGTTTTCACTAGGTCTGTAGAACAAATATCCAAAAGACTGCTTTGGGTAACCAATGAAAACACATTTCTCACTTCTAGCTGCTAGCTTGTCGTGAGTCTCTCGTCTTACGAAAGCTTCACAACCCCAGACTTTAATATGTGCTAACGAGGGAACTTTCCCTGTCCACATTTCGTGAGGTGTTTTGGCAACCTTCTTTGTAGGGACAAGATTGAGGATGTGGGCGGCTGTCTCTAAGGCATACCCCCAGAAGTGAATAGGAAGCGAGGCACGACTCATCATAGAACGAACCATGTCTAACAAGGTTCGATTACGCCTCTCAGCTACACCATTTAACTGTGGTGTCCTAGGAGTCAATTGTGAGACTATCCCACATTCTTTCAGATAGTCGTTGAACTCGGTACTAAGATACTCCCCGCCTCTATCGGATCTAAGTATCTTGATCTTTCTGCCCAATTGATTTTCGACTTCATTCTTAAACTCTTTGAACTTTTCAAAGGTTTCTGACTTATGTTTGATCAAGTAGATGTAACCATATCTGCTATAATCGTCAGTGAAAGTCACATAGAATCGATTAGCATCCCTTGTGGTTGATCTGAAGGGCCCACACACATCTGTGTGTATGAGATCCAACAGACCTTCACCTCTTTCACAAGACCCTGTGAATGGTGATTTTGTCATCTTTCCCAAAAGACAAGATTCACACATATCATCTGATTTTAGGTCAAATGATTCCAACACTCCATCCTTTTGGAGTTGGGCTATGCGTTTCTTGTTAATGTGTCCAAGACGACAATGCCACAAGCATGCCTTGTCTACACTATTAGACAAGTCAATATTAAGTACACTATTTCCTAAGCTATCAACACAAGTCACTGTTTCATACACACCATCACAAGGTAAAGCTTCAAACACAAAAACACCATTCTTATAAACAGAAATTGAACCATTCAAATCATTAAAAGAATATTTAAAACCTTGTCTGAACAATGCATGAAATGAAATAATGTTTCTCGTCATCTCAGACGAATAGCAACAATTTATTAAGTCTAATCTAACATCATTACTAAGCAATAATTGATAAACTCTGATCTTGGTCACTGGTGAAGACTTTCTGTTCCCCATGATCAAGTTTATCCTCCCATGCTCTATCTCCTCACTTTCCTTTAGCCCCTGCAAATCAGAACAGATATCCTGTATCAAGGACCCATGAACGAGAAGATAATGAGTTATTAGCAGAAATAGTGTAAATACCTGCCGAGGATGGCTTCACTTTGCCATCCTTGATATCTTGCAGATATTGTGGGCAAGATCTCTTCCAATGCCCTTTTTATTGCAGTAAAAGCAAGTGGCCTCTTTTGGATCAGAAACATGGGGAGTGGAACCATTGGGCTTAGCCTTCGGGCCATTACTAGATGACACAGCTTGAGCCTTGCTCTTCCAGTTTTGCTTGGGAGGACCTTTCCTCTTCTTCCCCTTACCCTGTCCAATGGCCAAGACAGGGGCACTTGCAGGTGTGGAGGGTATACTTTTACCCTTCATCCCTGCCTCAGCTGTCTGCAACAAGTTGTGCAATTGGGCCAAATCTGCTCAGTGTTGTTCAAATGGTAAGTTAAGATAAACTGACCATAACAATCAGGCAACGAGTTCAAGACCATGTCAATGGCCAATTCCTCATCGAAGTGAATGTTGAGCTTGACCAAACGCTCTATGTAGCGTTGCATTCTTTGCACATGAGATACAACCGATTCCCCCTCTTTCATCTTGCAAGCCATGAGTGACTTGACTACCTCAAACTTTTCTTGACGAGCTCGCTTATGGTACTTTTCCATAAGGTCCTTGTTCATCTCAAAGGGCCAGTAGTCCTCATAGTACCTCTGCAATTCTGGGGACATGGTTGCAACCATGATGCATGCCACTTTGGTAGCATCATCATAGTGTTTCTTGTAGGCAGCATACTCTTCGGGAGTGGCTTTTGACTCATCAAGTTCTTTGAGCTCCTTTTCAAGGACATACTCTTTGTCCTCAAATCTAAGCGCCATCTTGATGTTACGCATCCATAACGACTTTGGAGCAGATGTTTAGTAGAGAGAAGTTGTGGCTGGAGGATGATGAAGCAGAAGTGTTTCCAGGAGTAGACATCTGAAAAGAAAGATAGTTTTAGTTAGATTCCAAGACACCTCAATATAATAACCCAAAGATATCATATCAAGGTTAGGACCCAACTATGACGATTTACAACTTAGAAATGGATGCCGAGATCCAAGTTCAAATCTCATAAAGGTAGGTGAATGACGATTCACCAATTCCACCATTAGACAAAATAAACGAAGTGAAATTCCTAATTCTTTTGAGATACATTAAAACTATTTAATGGCATGTTTTAATCTCGGATTATGCTCTACTATTTGTGACTGGGATACCGAGGATCACAAACTAGATGTGAATAACCATGCAAATGTGCTTGGTAACCTTATTGTCTTTATCATTAACTATTGATGTGCCGGTAAACCACACACGCTCCATCAAAATGATAATTATAAGATACCCATTACTACTCTTTATTAGTGCCTTTTAGTGTGCCGGTTAACCACACACGCTCCACTAACGACCAATAAAGCATAATGTGCAATTTCATGGATTAGCATACTTTTCACATTTTTCCTAAAGTAACTAGAGTTGGGATTTTGAAAAATAGTGTTCTAGTACTTTCTTTAATAGCATTATACTTTTAATGAGGAGTAGTTGTCCTATCAAATCCGTTCTGCTAACGACCCTCCACTAATCAAGGAAGCGGTGGGTGAGAGTGGACACCCATTCAACTACCATTTTATAGGCAATTTCCTTATACCCCCCTTATAGACTAGCTTCGTGAATGAGGCATACTAGCGATTTGACTGACCATATTCTTATACATATATAATGTTTAACTTTTAATTATATAATATATATATAAGGTGTGTTTTAAAACATTTTAAAACTCCAAGAGTTTATATAAATTTTCGAAATTTAAACTATTAAATTTTAAATTTAAATAAACCAATCAATTAGATTTAATATTTATCTATTAATTAACTTTTAATTAATTTATTAAATCTTGTAAGGATTATCTAATCAAATTAATCAATTAATTTAATCCTAATCCTTATCCCTCTAAATTTCGAAAATTAGGGATAAAGGATAATTATCCAATTAATCTAATCAAGTAAAAATTATCCAAAACAAGAAACCCTAAAATCTCTAGCATATTTCGAAATTCACAAGGGAGGAGGCTAGGGTTTTCAAAACCCTAACCCTAATTTCGATTAGGGTTCTTTGGAGGCTAGGGTTTTCAAAAACCCTTTGATCCATAACCCAAAAAAATCGAAAAATGGCCTTTAGGGTTTAATAGCTATAAACCCTAATTTGCAATTCAACAATTATGACAATTCAATTTAAAACAAACAATGGCTCTGATACCACTGATGGGTTTTAGGTAAAACAAATAAACTAGAAAACAATTCCTAAGTTCACATGCAACCTACTTTGGATCTATGTTTTATCTATTGAACATACAACTTTGAATTGCAAAACAAGAACCCTAGAGGAGAGAGGCTATAATCGAAATCTACAAACTAGGGTTTAGTAATTACATACCTTTCAATTGTTATAGTAAACAATTGATGATTCCCTTGATCTTGATCTTGATCTTCTTGGAAGCTTAGCACCACAAGTGTAATGCCTCTAATGGAATCACACCCAAACTAGCAAGAAGGAAATTAGAGGAGAGAGGGAAGAGGGAGTATGCAAAATTTCGGCCCTTAGGGTTTCTTCTAAAGAAAAGAGTGACCAAAACATGAACCAGGAGGCTCCTTATATAGCTGAGGGATCTAGGGTTTAGGGGAAACCCTAGTTATCCTTTGCTTAGGGCCTAAGCAAACCCAAGGGCCTTATCCAAGCCCCTATGGACGAAATTATTAGGGTTTCCCCTAAAGATTTCGTCCACCCTTATCCAAAGGGTTTCTAGAGCCTTCCACTCAACTATTAGATAATTGCAAACTAGTCCCTGCACCTTATAATTAATTCTTTTAACCCCGAAATTAATTCTAATTAATTTTTGGCTAACAACTAATTAAACCAAATGATTTCTTATTAATATATTAATCTTTTAACATATTAATAAATTCATTTATATTAATTTATTAATCTTATAATAAATTAATACCTCTCCTTTCATAATTTCCTTGTCCGGTTGCTAGGTTTGAGGGCAACCCAAAAGGACTGTGCTGCTATCAATTCAAGTACATACTAATTATAGTTATGAGCTTAGACACCTAATCCAACAGTTTACGCTGAAGTTTACAACCATTTGAGTAATGTAAAACTCTTTAAGAACATAAATCATTTTGAGCTGTAAGTTAGGGATCTACAATCTTTAATTTGGTTTTGATTTTTCAGTCTAATATTTTAATTCTTCAAACGGGGCAATCTTCTTCCTACATTTTTATGATTAGATTTGCTCGTGAATAATCAATTTGATCTCTAGACGGAACTTGGTAACTAAGTAATGATAATTTAATTTATTATGTGCAACGATTCGATATATAATTTGCAGTATTATTTATCGGCTTCTTGGCATTTGATTTTACCAATGATTTGATATCAGTTCACAATATTAATCTTCATCTTGTTTGTTTGTTAATTCGAGAATACAACCGTACCGCTATCCTCATACTATATATCATTCTCTTGATGTAGAAGCATATTAACCACCTGCTTCATCGATGGTCGCACCTTCATATCTTCGTCGGCACATTTCAATGCAATTCTGACTAGATTTTCCATGGCGGTCCGATCATATTCACCACTTATTGAAGAATTTACAATCTCCTCAACCCAAGATTGGCTTCCATCGACCTCTTTGATCCTATCCCTCACCCACTCCATTAGAGAATACTCCTTATCCCCACTTTCATTGATTCTTTGTTGCTTCTTCCCAGTTGGACTCTGTCCTGTTATCATCTCCAATATCACAACCCCGTAGCTAAATACATCAACTTTTGAAGTGATTGGAAGATTAAACACCCATTCAGGAGCCATGTAACCTCGAGTCCCTCGGACTGTTGAAAAGTTCAAGTTCACAATTCGATCTCTATCGAATAGCTTTGAAAGTCCGAAATCCGCCACCTTGGGATTGTATTTAGCATCTAAGAGTATGTTATGAGGTTTCACATCACAATGTAGAACCCACTCCAAGCACTCTTCATGTAAATAAGCTAATCCTTTCGCTGTACCTTTTGCGATATTAAACCGTGTCTCCCAATCGAGTTTCCCTAGACGCAAGTTTCCAGCCAACGATCCATTCTCCATGTACTCGTAAACAATAAGCCTGTGCTTTCCTTCAGCACAATAACCCCATGTTTCTATTAGATTCATGTGATTCAACCTCCCAATTGTGCTGATCTCAGCTTGAAATTCATCTTCATCATGGTGGTTTGTATTCTTGAGCTTCTTGATTGCTGCAACTCGGTTATCTGATAAAATCCCTTTATACACAACACCAGCACCACCTCGACCTATCTCTTCGCTGAAATTAAGTGATGCCCTTTTCAGCTCACTGTATGTGAACTTCCTGAAGGCTGTTGCTACCGGAAAATAACTTTGATTGATTGTAACCGAGTGTTTCCTGCTCTTATACCAGAAAATTATTATGCCAATGATCTCAATAAACCCAATCACGCATCCTAACACAGCCACGTCGCTAAGTAGTTTGCTATCATGTTTTTTCTCGTACAATCTTATTATGGGTGTCCCCATCTGGCCTGCGCAACTGAAGTTTGATTTACTGAATCCCACTTTCGGATTAAAATATGACGCCAACTGTCTCGGTAATTTGATATACATATCACTGTAGAACCCCATTTGCATGTATCCATTATACAAAGAAGTCTTCATGTAGCAATAAAAGCATGCTCTGTCATAATCATAGGAATACTGGAACCCTTTGCAATTGCAATCATCTAAGCATTCTTTCTTGCATTCATTAACAGTGTAGTTCGGGTGATACCGAATATCGTAGCCATAGAATTCTGCTTGATGAATCACCACGAAACCATCATCCTCTGGTGTACACTCCTCGAAGTCGGGTGCACATCCGTAACTCCAATCTTCATAATTCACCATCTTGTAGCCAAATAAGCAAGCGCATCGCCTACCTGAATGTTGTGAATGAGTACAAAGACTATTTGGTCCACAAATACCATGAACCTTGCAAGAATGGGAAACAGCTTGCCATTGGACTTGCCATTTATTTCTTCTTTGATGCCCAATGATCCGACTGTAAACTCTTAGATTACCATCGATGTCAATCCTCATCATTCTTTGGGGTCCAATCCCAAAATCAGACGATAAAAATACAAAACCGTCTGATGAGTTGAATCGACCCTCGGAATCAAGGCTCGCTCTTTGATTGTTTATGTACTGATTTCTTCCACCTTCCCGACCTAGAGATTCGGGATCAGGCCAGTAGATGCTAGTTGATTCTAGACCTTCATAACGAATACGAAGAATGCTATCAAGGTCGAAAAAGAGCTTATAGAAACCAGAGGAGTAATTAGTAGCACTTCTTGAAGATACAAGTAGTTTGTTCCTAGTTAAAGGTTGATCTGGAAGAAGGGTGTCTGTTGGATGATCAAAGCTTTCCCAACGAATTTGTTCTCCTTCATAAAGAACAAGGTTACCTGTGTCATGAAGTTGCAATAGAAACGAAGAAGATGTTGATTTTGTGTGGGTTGACCAAATAATCGATTGACCAGCGTCTATTAAGACAAGATTGCCATCTTTGAATAATGAAAGCTTCGAGTATTTTCCATTTACAGGTGCATCTCGGTTAGCCATCCATACCACAGTGGGACCCCCTGACGTGGGTTGATCCGTGAACCACACAGCGAAGCAATAAGCATTATATCCGACTTGATGAAAACCGGCTGTGAAAACCCCATTTGGTGATACTAAAATGTCGTTGGTGTTTTCTACAGATAGAGATGAACCTCCGGTTAAGCCATGAACGGAGAAGAAGAGGTAGGAGAGAAAGAAGAAGACGAAGAAGATGGTATTCTTGTGGTGATGAACAAGAACAACAACCGGTGAAGACATGATATGTAGATTGAGAGAAACAAGAGCATTTATTGATCTAAAGAGAACGGTGGAATCATCATACAACATTTCAAAGGGCATAAATTTGGTTGATCCAAGGTTGTCGATAGTTGTCTAATGAGCAAATTGGATAGTTGTGTTTGTTTGTAGTTATTCATTGGCAGCAGTTTTATCATAAATGGAATAGGCTAATTTCACATGCGGGTGATCAACGAGTTAAGTGAACGTTCAAGATTGTGAGAATATTGCCTAAAATGATGATTTTTTTTTTTTTTATTTTAATTACGATTGAAATGGGGAATTTTTTTCAGTTAATCTCTTCACTTCAGGTAGTTTTTAGATGTTTTCTCAAACATGGATAATTCATTTACTACAAAATGGTTGTAACTTGTAGATGTTAAAATGGTTTTTTTTATTTATTTTTTATTTTTTTATTTTTTTATTTTTTTATTCAGCAACTCAATTAAGCAACTTTACCAAACAAGTTTTTATTTTCATTCAAGCATCTAGATAATGCACCCTCTAAATTAGGGATAGCAACCCATTTCACGACATGACATGAGAAATTAAATTTCGAATTCGTGTCCGTATCAAAATTCGACACGAAATTGACACGATATTAACATATAATTCGATACGAAATTGACACGATATTAACATATGTTTGTCGTGTGTATCATCGTTATCATGTTTTGTAAGGATTAATTTTGAATTAAATATCTAAAAGTTTATTTTATTTTTTCTTTTTTCGTATTTCGTTTTTATCATGTTTTAATCTGATCATTTTCGTGTTAATAAAACAAAACACGACATCATGTCATATTCATTTTACATAAAAATTTCTGAGTTGTGTCGTGTCAAGTAAAAAGATCTATCACCCATAATGATTTCCTTCCATAGAATAATGTTATGGTCATGAAACTCATGTTAGAAATCGTAAGCTTTTTCATAGATTGTATTTTGATGACTTTCATCTTATATCAATATAAATACAGGGAATTAGCTGTAAGTATTCAATTTGAAAGATTCTAGCACAACTGAAACCAGAATCACGAATTCTATTGAATGGCATAAGCTAAAGTTTCTACCTCGGTTGGTCTCCATAATGTTTTTTCAACACACAACAACCCTTCATTATCCTTGTTGTAACTCATTCGAACATTCCAATGAAGAGACTTCGCCATATTTTCAACCTCAGCAATTGTCTCCACATTGTCACGCACAATTAGTTTTCCTTCTGGCCTTAAAATCCTGTCCACTTCTGCAATCACAGATGCTAACTTGCACCTGTAACATGAAACAAAATATAGAGTGCTACATATAAAAAAAACAATTCCACAAAAGTACATTGATAAGAAACTTCTGAATGATGTATATATATACCTTTTTTTAAGATCTGAGAAAAGATGATCAGCATGAAGAAGATCATATGAACGTGGGTAAGTGCTGAATGATTCACACCAGTTATGATATATCCCAAAGAGTCCACGTTCATATATAATTGGAAGTGTATCTGGTGAATCAAGTGGGACCACATTCATCACCCATACGTTTAAATCTTTCAATGCAGCAGCAAATCTACAAACATTTAACAACAACAATAAGAATATATAACAAGAATCAAGACAAGATATTGTTATGACTTCCTTTACTTACCCTCCATAGATGGATCTCATGTCCATGATATTTCTAACACAAGACCAATCAATTCCTAAACCATTCAAATATGACTTTGACACAACACGTTTCCAGTGTTCATAGTCAGCAGTGAAGTCTTCAGGAGCTGGTTTTCCATAAACTCCAGATTCTGTGGCTTTTAACCAATAAGGTGGTGATTCCAACCTCTGAGGCCATGTTTTTGGCCACTTTGTTCCTCTAATTGATTCATCAACAGGGGCTTTATGCATGCATGCTTCAAGTTCTACATTCCTGTATGTATCAACACAATCATGTTAGGTATCAGTGAAACTTACTTTGTATCAAGAAAAACTAAAAAGTTTACCAGATTGCATCTGGATCATCGTTGGTTTCACATATAGGTGGATCATTTTGTTGTCTGTTGTCATAACATTCATTAGAAGTTGGCTTTTTGTATATTGCTGCACCAACTTGGTTTAATTTGTCACTATAAATCACCACCAGCTCCCAACACATAGCCTTTGTTAATTTAGACATAGCTGCCACAAGTTTTCAGATAACAATTTAATCAAACATTCAATGTGATTATATATAATTTGTTGATTTACACATACCTTTCCATATTTCAGAATCTTCTGTATTGTTTTGGTAAACTGGGGTAGCAGACCAAATAAAATAACCACCAGGTCGTAAAAGTCGGTTGAGCTCCAATAGAAGTTTTCCACCTGAAAATATATTCATATATCATACTGTATACTGTATACTGTGTAAAAAACGGAGACTTTAAAAAAAGAGTGCATGGAAGAATGACCTTCAATGTGCCATGGGACTCTGCAACGAGCACAATGAATGGCATCAAAGATTTTACTAGGAAAGGGCAATCTTTGGGTACCCATGACTGCTGAAATGGCAGGAATACCCCTCTCAAGAGCAAATTGCACTTGAGCTTCATGCTCATCTTTTGGAGCAAAAGACATTGTGATTACATCTCGCTCAAAAAGATATCCTCCAAAACTTGCTACTCCACATCCAACATCAAGAATCACACGGGTTCTTTTGCCCCATTTGATATCCGGAAGTGACTGAAATTATATAACGAATAACAAATCTTATTTTCACTGAAAATTACAACAACTTTTTATATATGGGAGAATAGAAAAGAAGCATCGGTGGCTTACTTTTTTGATATGATCGATATAATGAAGAGCACCATTCTTGAACTGAGTTCCACCCCCTGGAAAAGAAAGATACTCTCCTGTAACTTTGACCCAATTTTGATGCCCTTTGACTTCAGCGAGCTTTGTGCGTGGAACATTATTGTACCATATCTGAATGATACAATCAGAATCAGAGTTAAAAAATGAAACTAGTTAGAAACTTTCGATCAATCAACCAGACCTTATATTGAAATACCAATATGTTGGTATCCGATTTCTAATAGAATTCAAACTTTTTTAAGAAAATATAAAAAAAAGTCAAACTTTTTTACCTGGTCTCGGCTTCTAGGCCACCTGATTGGGGTCTTGTAACCTTGAGGAAGAGGGACAAGGCATGTAGGGGATTCAACAGGACAATGGCGTTCTCTGTGTTCATAGTGGAGTGTAGTACGAATCTTTCTAAGGGCTCCGAAATTGTCAAGACATGGAATAAAATCTGGACCTGTGGTCACATTACATGTCTTCCATTCGTATTCATCTTGGTTCTTCAAAACATCTGGTTGTCTTGATTCTTTCTCACTTGCTGACTCAGCTGCTTGTGTTGAAAAAGCTCCATTTTCAGTTCGAGATTCGTTCAAAATTTCAGACTGATCAGCAGCGGGGAAAGATTCTGTCTTTTTATCGCTTTCTGGTTTCGTTTCTTGTTTATCAACCTCAGAATCTGACTTTAGGGTTTCATTAGTATCGCTATTAAGATCATCCTCTGACTTTGACTTGTCATTTTGACTTGAATTAGAATCATCTCCTTTGTTAGATTCCGCGTTTCTTGATGTGGGTTCTTCGTCATTTGTATTTTCAGCCTCGATTTTTGATGGTTCCTCTTCATTACTAGTCTTTTCATCTTCAGGTAAATCACCAGAATTGTCTTCAAATAGGGGAGAAGGGTTTGTGGACACCTTGGCTTTTGACTCTGTTTTAGAATGCTGAGCTGGCAAGTCTGGATTTTGACCAGGGGCAACGGTTGTTGACATGAACATCCATACACCAATTAAACAAACACCGAAAACAACCACGATTGTTGCTGTGGAACATGATGACTTCTTTCCATCAACTCGGGAGTATTTTCCCTGAGCCATGTATTAGAAACCGGTGTTTCTAATAAATACCTGAAGGGCGCAAATGGAATTTGCATATTTAGTAGAAACTCACAGAAGTTCATGCATAATTTACAGAAAAGCCGACATTTTTCCCACAAGAAAATGAACAAAAAACAAATAGTTTGGTAATGAAGACTGGGGCCCGAAAATAATGCATGTATAATAAAGGAAAATGGCATCATGGAACCCTTGTATCATGTCATCATGTTGCAAAATAAAGAAAAAAAACATCCATGGCTGATGTCAATTCAATGTTTGAACCACTAAATTGTAAACAGGTGGAATCCCCCTGATCCTAAATGAGAACATGAAACGACTATAGTGATAGATACATCAAATAGCACATATTAAGAGCAATACTGTTCCTTGTGCTCGCTATATAATGCAAAATCAAACATGTAAACACCAAAATTCAACTAATTTAATGAATTAACAATTCGTCTCATGTTGCAAAAGAATGTATTTAATCAACTAGATTAACGAAATTTAGTACCAAGACACTGTTTGGAATTCCTCGTAGCCCAAACACTGCAACAGTGATCAATCTATATGCCAAATTCTTAAGCTATCAAATCAAAAATAAAAGCAAAAAGGTCTATGTCCATCAAGCTTTACAGCTCAATTAAAGTGTATGCAAGTGGTGAAAACTTAAGTAATATTAGAAGCTTCTTCGTACCAAAAGTTTTGTTCTTGTGATTGAGGCTTACGAAACATAAATTTAGTAAGAGAGAAGGATTTACCTTTAGGATTGTTCTTCTGGATCTGACAGAAGAGTTACCCTTTGAAGCTCATCTCCTTCAAGAATGGCAGAAAAATTAGTACGGAGGAGTAGAGGATATATAGGGAAGATAGAGCGAATGGTGAATATAATAAGAAACTGGTGTGGGGGCGGAAGAGGATAGTCGGATACGGTGGCGACAAAACGGGAGCAGATCCAGGGGTTCTGGTTCGCCGACTACCAATGAGGGGTCGATTTGTAAGTTTTGTAGATTGAGGGATGAATCATGGATAATCACAAACTTTAGATTTCTTTTACTTCAATTTAGAATACACACCCCTGGACTTTACCCTAAAGTCGGATACTTCCCCAAAAGACTTCACAATAAGAAGTAATAATATTAGCCAATTCAGTAAGGATATGATTGTTAGATAAATTAGATTAGGATCTTTTGGTAACTTCCAATTGAGATAAAATGCCCCAGAATAATCATAATCATCTATTTATTTAATGGAACTATTTAAGGAAAAAAATTGGTAGAAATTATAATCGATCTTCATGCTTTATCGATTTTGATGTTCTATATATTCAACCAATTCAAAAATCAAATAAATGTTTGTAATTGATTTCATTGACATGAATAGATTTTTTTTTCATAATTTTGAATTGCTTTTTGATTAAGTTATTCAAGATTCAAATTATTTAAATAATTTCAATAGTTAAGGAACGGATGCAAGTTGATTTAATGGTTCAGCTTCAAGGTTGAACGTATCCAAGTTTGATACAAATACTTTTATTACATGATGAATCAAGTATTTATTTGTCAACGTTCAGCGTCTTCGCTTTCCAAAAAGAAAAGCTTGTTTTACACTCTCTACCATTTAGAGGCAAGCAAACTAAAAAGTTAGGGTCCTTTTAAATAAACAAAGGGTTTTGAACTTGAGATATTTAGTTTTCCAGTATTTTTACTAGTGTTTATATATATATATATATATATATATATATATATATATATATATATATATATATATATATATATAACATAATTAGCTTTGAAATTGAAGGCTTTTTAGAATTGAGGACCCTAAGCTCTTACTTAGTTTTTCATAATGTAGAGCCGATCCTACTCTCTACATAACAGGTTGCTTGTTTTTCTTATGTAACAAATGCTGAAAAAACATATCAATGTTTGTCGTCTAACCATCACGAACCTCATTGTTAATAAGATCTATTGTATAGTATTTCTTGTTTTTGAATGTTGTTAAAGTCATTACACTTAGAATTGCAAATGGAATACCCTAATTGTCTCAAAAAGCTCATGATCATTAACAAACGAAAAACTATTAACAAAAATAAGTGTTATCAATACATGAAAAATAAAAAAATTTGTATTAAGTATACTTACGAGAAATTGACACTCTAATTGGATAGTGTTGGTTAACAGTAACACGATTTGATTCATATAAAGATCGTTAAAAACAGAATTCATAAGCAAAAGTAACGGATTTTAAAGAAAACGAAAAACCAGCCAGCTAAAAAGTGTAAATTTATGAAACTTAAAACGCTTCGTTAGGTCTCTTAAATAATGAATCTTCAGCTCCAAACGATTTTCTCTCGATCACAATAAGATGTAGTACTTGATTTTGAAGCTATCCCATGTTGACCAAAAAAACAAAAAAGTCGGACGGTACGACGTAAGCTTATTCGATATGTGGGGTTAGCTACACATCTCGTTAACTATTTTTTATCGTGCTTTTTAAATCAAACTATTCCATAATATTTGATTTCATTGGAAAAATGGTTTTCACTTGGAGTTATGTCACTTTCGCGAAAATACGTCAATCGCGAAGGTTATAAATTATAACGAAATTGTAACTTCGAACACACTTTTAACATAGTGTCATATTTCGTATGATATTTTCAATCGCATAATCGAAACCAGCACGTTTAGGACAATCATATGGCATGTTCGGAAAATTTTCTAAAAGTTAGAAATTGGACATGCTTTTCAAGGCGACAAATGGCAAAAGGAGGAGTGAATATGTAACATTTTTGTGCTCTAAATAGAGATGCAAATCTGCCTAAAATGATGACATTCATCTCTCTCTCTCTCTCTCTCTCTCTCTTTCTCTCTCTCTCTCTCCCTCTCTCTCTCTCTCTCTCATATTTGAAACTATTGGCGGCTGTCGGTGTCACAGCCGACAACTGTTGCCCTCCTCTACCCTCTTCCACTTAGTCACTTTGTTGCCTTGTCTCGAGCGACTTATCTATCATCGATCTCCCTTCCAATGAGCAGCTCTCCGACGACGCAAAAAATCAGTCGAGAAAGGCTTCACCGGCATCACACGCCACGTAAATTAACGCTCTTAGTTTTCCTCCAACTCATCGAGTTCCTATGAATTACATAAGCGTGACATCATGATCTAACTCGTCGAGTTTTCCTCCAACTCATCGAGTTTCTCCTTCTCAACAGAAACGAGACTTTCCCAGTATAACTCGTCGAGTTCCCTTGTGGAATTGTCGAGTTCCTTCAATAGAATCAAGAATGTTTGACCCAACTCGTCGAGTTCCTCTATGAAATCAGCGAGTTCCTCATAGTTCTTAGTCTATTAAGCCCTTTTCCTGAGATCAATAGTTCCAGAATATTGATCTACATTGTTACCATGGTATACATCTGTAAAGTCGACAACTTGATGGCTTTGCATGCTTCAAATGGACCCAATCTCGAGATATAGCAACCTACTTCTATGGATATGGTCTTTACTTAGACAAGAACGAGTTTAGGACCCTTTTATGAATCTAAGGACCAAGTAACACTGAGAATGGGAATTTTTAGCATTAGGACTATGAAGGTGATCATGCTCCAACAATGGGGTCAAAAGATCCACAAAACAACACTAATATAGATCTAAGCTATTAATCATCAAGTTTGAGACTTTTTACCTTAGAAATTTGTCAAAGACGAACGAGATCAGATGTATCACTAATCAAAATAGGTCAATAACAGTCACATGTGATTATACCAATCATGTAATGTAATTTTGTTAAACTAGTAATGTAGTAAACTCACTATGTATTTCATGATAATTCTAATATAAATATGAACTTTCATATATACTTTATGGTATAAATCAAATTATACGTCCATACGATTCCAAAAATATAGAGAACATCTAAATCTGACTTTGCATGAAGAAGTTATGATAAACGGAACACTATAAAATCTCTATAACATAAGGAATTTAAAATACTCCTAGAATTATCTATTTGAGTCTAAAATAGAGTTGTAGTGCTCGTACATACCTACGCGTGGATATAAAGAACATCAAAAACGGAGTTCGTATGCAAAAGTTACGACCTTCCGAAGTTACAACTGTCTGAGTGCACGACACATGTCAGAAACCTTAATCTGACTGGACTCACGACATGAGCCTAAAAACTCACGATGTGAGGAGTCAAACCGCCTCATTTTTCATCTAGAAGTCTACGGAATGATAACCCAAAACCCACGATGTGAACGAGGTTTTCTCACGATGTGAGGACGCTGCAAGACACTATTCCAGGCTAGAAAACACGCATTAAAGCTATGAGATGACTCTTGCCATAACTCACAATGTGAATCTATCATTTCTCACGTCATGAGGGCCAAAAATCTTCCTATAAATAGCAAGTTCGACCTCAGCCATTCTTGCACCTGATCTCCTTCCTCCTCTCTCCTTTGCTGAAGCCGTTTCACTTCCCGAGCCCCGACAACCTCGTACCGTTGACCGTTTCTGCTTAGATTACATAAAATCACGCTTCTAAGGTGAGTTTCACGGCCCCACTTTCTAATATTTCGGGGGAAAACTCATGCTAAATATTATATATATATATATATATATATATATATATATATATATATATTATGTGTATATGAAAGTATATATCAGTATCAACGTAGATAGTTATAATAACCGGGATATAGTTATTTCGTATCTGAAAGTATACAACTATCGTAAAGTTGTTAGCATGTTATTGTCATAGTAGTATACTAATGTAGATCTTGAGTTATACTTAGGATTCTATATATATTTTGTGTGCGATATAGTTCTAAAGTTATATTCGGAAGTTCTATATGTTAATTGATATGTATGTTGTTGTTGTTATTGGTAATACTTCAAGATAAAACTTGGTATGTTATATGTTGTTATTGTTAGTTTTATGTCAAGATAAAACTTAGTATGTTATATATTGTTATTGATAGTTTTATGTCAAGATAAAA